AAGACCGTTGTTGTGAGTGGCAGAGTGCATTCGTTTCTGATGTCACTTGGATTTAAGTTTGCCCAAGGCCTGGCAGCTGAGTGGGCAACACTTCGGATTCGTAGTCCTGAGGTTCCGAGATCGATCCCCGGTTGGAGGCGGAAACAAATAGGCAGAGTTTTTCACCCTGATCCCTCTGTTTACCTAGCAGTAAATAGGTACCTGGTAGTTATACAGCTGCTAAGGGGTGCTTCCTGGGGATGTGTAACAAAAAAGAAGGCCTGGTCGAGGACCGGGCCGCGGGGACGCTAAGCCCCGAAATCATCTCAAGATAACCTCAAGAAGGCTTTCCATCAATACTCTTCCCTTCACACACACACACACACACACACACAAACACACACACACTTTGGGATCAAAGAGCCAAAGCTCAACCCCCGCAAGCACAAATAGGTGAGTACACACACACACACACACACACACACACACACACACACACACACACACACACACACACACACACACACACACACACACACATGGCCACGCTGCTGAGTGGACAGCGCTCGGGAATCGTAGCCGTGTGGTCCGGGGATCGATTTCCGGCGGTGGCGGAAACAAATGGTCAGTTTCTTTTACCCTGATGATCCTGTTCACCGACCAGTAAATATGTACCTGGTTGTTACACCGCAGCTACTGGCTGCTCCCTGTGGATGTGCGCGCGCGCCTGCGCGTGTTAGCGTGTGTTAACGCGTCTCAAACATGTACAGCTGTTAGGCGAGACTTAGAGAAATGGGATAGTTGGACTTATGGAAATATTTCATAGAGAAAAATAGATTTAAAAAAATCAAGCATTTAATTCATAATGAAATACAATACAATACAATACAATACAATACAATACAATTTTATTTAGGTAAGGTACATACATACAATAAATATTTACAAGGATTGTTTAACTTATAGGTATAGCTAGTACATACAATGCCTAAAGCCACTATTACGCAAAGCGTTTCGGGCATAAAGAAAATAAGATTTTCTCAAGTCATTGATTATAGATGAGCATTTACATCAGTGGAATTATGTCGTGATTGGTTTGGTGGCGTCAATGTAAACAGTTTACACAGGTGGCAGTTGTTTGTGCGTGATGGAGCTAACGAGCATCGGCCGCTGTTATTCAGTTGGCAAACTTCCTAGGTTTCTGATTATGCCATAAACAATTCATGTCTCATACTTGTTAAGTCTTGAGAGTGAATGAAGGGAACACATTAACACGGGGCGTAAGATAATGATTTAAACGTCCTCCCACAACTATCATGTTAGCTCAATATTTCCTTATACCCAAAACTTTACTTCTAACTCAATAAAAAAAAACACGGTGTGTGTCCTTTGTTTACATCTGAAAGCAGCTGAGACTCTTGTGTGTTTTGGCTTCAGGTGGATTGAAAAGCTGTCAAGGTGTGACAGACATCGATCTCCTCAGAGTTATTCTCTCAAGCTCTGATACTTCTCCTGGGTGTGAACAAATTTGAATAAGAAAGAAACTTTTTCTGAATGGCTATTCATTTTGATGCTATGCGTTATCAAGCTCATTGGAAAAGAGGAAAAATAAGCTTTAATTCGCCTTAAAAAAAGCCCTAAACAACTCTCCCCTTCCCTCCCTCTCTCTCGTGTGTGTGTGTGTGTGTGTGTGTGTGTGTGTGTGTGTGTGTGTGTGTGTGTGTGTGTGTGTGTGTGTGTGTGTGTGTGTGTGTGTGTGTGTGTGTGTGTAGGTGTACTCAATTTGTTGTGGTAGCGGGGGGGGGGGGGGTTGAGCTTCGGCTCTCTCGTCCCGCCTCTCAACTGTCAGTCAACTGGTGTACAGGTTACTGAGTCTACTGGGCTCTATCATATCTACACTTGACACACTAAACAAAGTTTTAGCTACAGGTAGTAGCTACTTGTGACTAAAAGAGCCACAATAAATAAATGACCATAAAAAAGCCGCCTAGGTGTGTAGCACAAAAGTCATCTGGTAGCACTAAAGTGAATATATTGCTAGCAATGAATGCATAGACCGGCGGTGATTTTCAGCATCTGCAACAGAGAAACAATGTAAAACTGCCGCACGTACCAAGAAATTCATTCTCTGCCAGCTATTACGAGCAACAATCCCAATACAATGGAAGCCAGAAGGCTGCAACAATGAATCCACCGGAATGTTAGTTATGGCTACTTGCTGGGTTGATGACTCCTTTCGTCTGCAGTACAGGAGCCAGAGTGGCTTTATGGCTGGCTCAGGCCCTGACGGACTGATGATTTAGTAACACTAAGTCGCGCTGTGATGAACTGGCAATGGCTTTAATGTTCACAGAGGGACTAAACGACCTCCTCCTCTTACGTCTAAATTACTGAGGCAAAATGTGTTTATTGCAGCTTGATGTGTGTGTGACGGGAAGCCTATAGGAAGGGGGAACCTATAGGAGGAAGAGGAGAAGAAAGGCGGAGGAGGATGAAGAGAGGCTATAAGGGAGTCTTAGTTCTTGTTATAAGCCTTACGTGAATGAATTCACTCTGGCTGTCTCCCGACACAATAAATTATAAATGATTATTATTATTCACGACAGCGAGTGAATGCAGGGAAAGCTTCCTAACTCATTTCTTTCATAAACTCTCATTATTCTACATGTTCAGCACTGGAGTAAAATTGTCATCAGTTTTTGTTTACCTTCAAAATTTTAACGCGGAAATCCTCGTCCGTGTCAGTCAGACCGGCTTGCAGTCGGAAATGCTCTTGAATGCAACGTTCGCTTTTTTTTTGGGGGGAGGGGGTAGAATGAGAGAGAGAGAGAAAGTTCAACTACAAGCTAATCTATCCCTGTATCACTGTGCAGTGCCCCTGTAACTCTTAGTACTTTCTGTGATGTTTCCCTGTGCAATGCCCTTGCAACTCTAGTACTTTCTCTCCTTTTTTCCCTCCACGTCCTCAAGTTTAAACTTTACTCTCAACTTCTTCCCTAATTTCTTATTCCTTTTCGTTGTTTCCATTTCCTTTTGAGGCTTTCGTGCATTTTAAGACGTCTAGCAAAGTTGGATGCTGATCTGTTCCCGCTTTCTCGTCCACCTTCTCCATTCTTCTTCCTGTTGAACTTTTTCACCAGCTTAGTTTCTTTCCTTCTGCTCGAGGACACAGGGGGTGGGCGACACAGGACGAACCACGCCACGAACCACGCCACGAACCAAGCCACGAACCAAGCCACGAACCAAGCCACGAACCAAGCCACGAACCACGCCACGAACCACGCCACGAACCACGCCACGAACCACGCCACGAACCACGCCACGAACCACGCCACGAACCACGCCACGAACCACGCCACGAACCACGCCACGAACCACGCTTCGTATGTGTGTGCTCTTTGCACATTAAGCTCTAAAGCACTTCAGTATATATGTGGATAAGTCTAGCAATGTTTGGCAGAACTCATTTGCCAAGACACTTTATATATGAATATATATCATCTCTTTTCTTATATGTCTCTCTCACTTTCTCATTCTCTTACCAGTAGAGAGAGATGGAGACGAGAGAGAGAGAGAGAGAGAGAGAGAGAGAGAGAGAGAGAGAGAGAGAGAGAGAGAGAGAGAGAGAGAGAGAGAGAGAGAGAGAGAGAGAGAGAGAGAGAGAGAGAGAGAGAGAGAGAGAGAGAGAGAGAGAGAGAGAGAGAGAGAGAGAGAGAGAGAGAGAGAGAGAGAGAGAGAGAGAGAGAGAGAGAGAGAGAGAGAGAGAGAGAGAGAGAGAGAGAGAGAGAGAGAGAGAGAGAGAGAGAGAGAGAGAGTTTCTGAGCAGGCGACACACACTAAATATCCAGGTTTCGGTCATGTTAAGGGTAACACAATATATTTACTTGAAATCGGACAAGATACTGGAACATTTACAATTTACCTGCAAATATCTTAAATTACATTCTATTTTGTGTATAGAATTCCCGATATTTATTGCAAGGCATAAATTTATGTTGATCAAACCTAAATTTATGGCACCTACGGTATGGCCTTTAATGGAATCAATTGTTTTTTTATTCTTTTTCTCCAAGAATGAGAAACTATATTAACATTTACTTTGCTTATATTTAAAGAATATATTCAGCTTAAACCTTCATATTATATGAATATGTGACGAGTTTAATGACTTGTTTCTTTAACAATCAACTACGAGTTTATTTCCAATAATGAGATTGGAATGAATCATATTTTTTATTTATATATATTTTTGTATTCTACATGTATCAGAGTTTTGCTTCAAATGATTGTGTAGAGTTGTGTGTAAGTTAAGCCTTTGTTTTTTCATGACATATGTAGGTGCTGAGTACATATTGTAAGATACGGACTTAGATCTTATGAAGACGTAACTATGTATCTTACGAAGTTATGTATCTTACGTTTGTGAGATATGTAAAATAAGTAAATGGAAAGGGTAAGTTTACTGAATGATTTTTTCCTTGCAATTCTCGCAGTTCGCTGTTGAACATTCGCAGAAAATTATCACGAACATTAATATAAGAATCTGGTGAACATTCCTAGGTCACCTTCACACCCGGGATGTTCAAAGGATTTTTCTAAATCAATGGTTTTATGGGTTTTGGTACTCTTCCGAAAGTACATGCAAGGTGTTGCAAGTACTAAAGTAGCCTAGGTGTTGCAAGGCTGCCTGCAACACCTGTTTTATTTCTAGAACAGAGCTGCTTAGTTGGAGGATAAGCGAAGCATTTCCTGTCAAATGTATAAGTGATCTTGAGAGGTCAACTGTACCCATGGAGCCTGAATTGTTTGTGTTATTGTATTTAAGTTGTATTAATTCATTTCATAAATTTAAAGATATAGCTTAACTCACACACACAGCCGAAGCTCAACCCCTGCAAACATACACACACAAGATAATTGTAATAAATTTTTTTCCCATTAAGAAAAAGAGTCAGAAATACCCAAGAGCAACACAGTTCAGACCAAGAAAGACCCCGGTCAGAGATCCTTTCTTCTCCTCGACAATCCGATAAGGCGACTCACGGTGTTTGAACGCTGAGATGGGTCGCGGAGAGGGTGAGGAACCTGAGAAGTGAGAGATTAAGGAGACAAAGAAAATAATACAAAGAGGATTGAAGTTAATGAGAATTTCGGGCCAGATTGGAACGCAGCCAAACTGAGAAACGCTACTGAAATGTATTAATAAAAAACATATTAACAAAAAGAATACAACGTATAATGGTTAGTAAGGAAGAGGATGATAAAAGGAACATATAAAGAAGCAGGAGAAGAGACATAGACGTTCAATGCAAAATTTCTCTCTTCCACAATTTATAATAAATTAAACTGTTTAGAATTAGCTCGCTTAAATATAGGACACTAGTCAGTATTTGTTGTTACTAAAGTTCCTTGCGTGTCTGGGATGAGAGTAGAAACAGAGATGCAAGTGTTTCGTCGTGAGTGAGACCTCAACTTGGGCGGTACAGAAGATTGGCGGTGCTGGGGTTAAGTTGGGTCAAGTGAAGGCAGCTGGTAAGTTGGTCAAGTGAAGACAGCTGGTAAGTTGGGTCAAGTGAAGGCAGCTGAGAAATAGTTTGACTAAACACAACGCTCACCAAACCTGGCCAAAAATTAACATAACATTTGAAAGGAAATAAAACAGACGAATATTTTTTTTGCCAATCAATCATTATCTCTCAATATCTCTCTCTCTCTCTCTCATTGCCTCTTTCTCAATACCTCTCTCTCTCTCTTTTTCAATATCGCGCTCTCTCTCAATATCTCAATATCTCTCCCTCTCCCAATGTCTCTCCCCCTCCCAATCTCAATCTCTCCCGCCCCCTCCCTCCCCCCCCCCCTGGACGAGAATGAAACAACAGCCGGGATTCGACTCCGGGTTTGAAGACAAATAAAGCACTATTGTCTAATCAAAAAGAGTAAGTTAAGACGAAAGTCTGTCCAAAAGAGACGGCAACTGCGACTTAGCAGGTGGGACAGACCCGAGTCCTCTCCCTTTTTTCTATCCTTTGACGTTTCATCAGAAATTTTGGGAATGTTGCGTTCAAAGACGATACTTCTTCGACGTTCAAAAGGATATGCAACAAAAATATTAACTGAAAAGGGGGAGAAAAAAACTTATTTCGCATTTGCAGATAAATTAATTTGTTCGTTCTCCTACACGATGTCGCTATTGTCTTTGTAATTACAATTAAACAAGCGCATGTTTTCTTTCAGTTATAAATGTCAACTTTTTAACTATTTTAATAATCGAATGCATATTATTGTTTGCAATCTATTGCATCGCGACTGTTCGCATCATCGGCCTTCGTTACCTAAACTTAACTCCCAACATGAGCATTCGTTTACGACAGCATAACTACTAACACGAGGTTGTGTTACGAGCTTATTTCATCGACTTGAGAATTGTCCAGAACGGACCGAAATGTCGTCCTCCCTTCACTTTCTAGTGTGTGGTCTGGTCAACATACTAACACGAGTTTACGTTATTCCATTAACCCTTCGTTAAGCCCCCTCTCTCCATAACTAGCAACATGATCCTTCGTTTACACCGACAAAGCTAGCAACATAAGCATTCGTTAATCTGACATAACCAGCAATATCTAGACTCGCCTTACACGTTTGGACTTCCCTTGCACTCACCTTGGTGTGTTTACATGGGGATGAGTGTTCGCTCGTTGGTCCCGCCTCTCAACCGTCAATCAACTAATGTACAGGTTCCTTAACCTGTTGGACTGTCATTTCTACATTTGGAACAGTGTGGGGAGTCAGCCTCCACCATATCACTGCTTAATGCATCCCATTTGGTATCTACTTTGACACTGAAAAAAAGCTTTTTGGTGTCTCTGGGGCACATTTGGGTGCTAAGTTTCCACCTGTGTCCCCTTGCTCGTGTTCCACTAGTGCTAAGGAGTGTGTCTTTATCTACACTATTTTTGTGAGATTGGTGGTGTGTGGGAGAGTATGGTGTAGGGGATGGTGTAGGGGATGGTGTAGAGGGAGTGGTGTAGAGGGGGTGGTGTATAGGGGTGGTGTGGGAGAGGGGGTGTCTCCTCCTGTTTGCATGTCTGTATATCTGTAAATGCATCTTGTCTCTAGGTCTAACATCTTCAGAAATGGAACATGCAAACTTAATGTCATCTAAACCGTTTAAAAAATCAATCACACGATATACACATGTTGGCCATCTTGTGTCACGGAGGTTGTCGATGTCACCTTTCAAAAATTAGAGGTCAAGGACCCCGAAATTAAATCACTACATTGCGTCATTGGACTCTCTGACGAATCAGAAACTGAAAATTTAACAAATCATTCATGACAAAAGTGCTTACAATGCTTCTCAATACAATTATAGATAAATTGGACTACTCTGAAGTTTGAAAAAAATGCATGTTTATTCACTTAATAACTATGAAAATGTCATTCAAACTGTTAATTAGCGGATCAGACTAATTAAGGTGTATTCAAAATATTGAGCAATTTTGGTGCCAGGGACTCCCCAGA